TAAAGACTCAGCAGACAGATTTAGGAATATCCTGAAGTGAAGGTATCATACAAGCCTTCATAGTGGCACAGTGGTCACTGCTAATATTGAAGGCATGCCTGACCAGTCACATTTCTTTTTATAATCTGTGACATGGGTGTACATGCCATGTATAGATACACGCAATAGGGCACTCTTACTAGGTTTTGCCATCACAGCAGTAGCACAGGAATAGGGAGAAGCTACAGCTCTTAGCTGGCCAGAGCATGCCCTACAGTTTGAGTTTTAGCATTTTCCTGATTTTTTTTTTTTTTGGCCCAGACGAAAACAGAACTGGGTAAAGCAAGAAGTTCACTCAAAACCAGATGCTTTCTTCAGAAACTTAGTCACAAAAGGTCAGACCTTGCTTGCCCTTCTGAATGTCAGAAGGTCAGACAGATGTGGAGAGGTCACAGAGCCTGGCCAGGTCCTCCTTAGCTTTACAAACCTGGTCACCCTGTGGGGCAGGCTGCCCTCGGTACCACAAGGTCTAGTCAGCACAGGGTACAGCTCCCAACTTACCTCTCAGGTGACTGGAGCTAAGTGAGGGAAGATGGGCATTTGACAGAACCATCCTGAGAGGACTGCTGCCTGCAGAGAGCTTCCAAGCTCTCATTAACTACAGCACTTCCCTGGCTGAAAGCAGTGGACAGAGAAATAAAAAAAAAAAAACCAACCAAGGAGGAGCTATAACAAAGAATTACAGGACTGAAAGGTTTCTAGAAGAAAATGGGAGGTCCCATAGCTCAGCTTTAGAAAAACAACTGCTTATTGCATCAGTGTATTAAGGTCAGCTGCATAACTTTCTTTGCCTAAAGCAAAAGCAGAGGAAAGTATACCAGATGTCTAACAGCCACCTCCTGTAGAAAGTGAGAAACACCTTTGTGGTGTTTTTTTTCAGGTGTTCAACTCCTCTGTAATCTCATTTTTCATGTAAAGTCTTTAAATGAAAGCCCTATTAACTCACATTACAAATCACAGAAACTAAATGTCCTATGCTGAGCAGGAGGAGAAAATTAACTTACAAAAGGGAGTGCAACACCTGATCCAAATTGCTCCCCCCTCACCCGCCGAATTCAAAGTTAATTTGTGCAAATACCAAGCCTAGGCATTCTGTGGGAGTTGCATTAGACAGACAACTCCAAACAAGTTGTCTACTTATAAGGAAGGTTGGGATGGGCTCTTAACCAAAACTACACATTCAAATATTCATAGAATTTGAGGAAGATTCAGTATTATTCTACATTCTGGTGCCAATTCCGGTCTTCTTTACAAACTGGCTCAAAATTACCAGAAACTTTTAGCAACGATTTAAAATCCTGATTTTGCAACCTAACTCTGCCTATGGAAAACTAAACGCAAAGCCTGAAGAATACCAAGCAGAAAAAACCTTGAAGACTATAAGCATTTGGGAGCTACAATACTCCAAATTAAGACTTCATTTTGCAAAACATAAATCAAATCCAAAGCGCTGGAACTGTCCCTGCAGCATCACTCTGAGGACAGACTACTGAGATTAAGGTCCGACCTCTACAGCCCTTAGTGGGAAGATTCCACATGATATAGAGTAACTTCTTTCTTATACCTATTTATGGGATTTGATTCAGCTCCAAGATGGTTGTTTTCATGCACAAGCTGTCTTTCAAGCACCATGGCTCGGTTGCTACATTCACAAAGTAGCTGAAATCAACCAAAATAAATATTGCTTTAATTGGCTTGTTATAAAGAAGAGAAACATGAACACATCTCTCTTCCTGAGAGGTTTTGTTTTATTTCCTCAAACCTGGAGTGAGGAACATAGCATCCTCAGAAGAAATTAATTTCAAACATTTATGAGTCTGGGCTCTAAATCACAGCTTAGAGCTCTCTGCTCAATTTATTCCTTAAAGGCTATGTGCCAAACTAATACTACTCTCCAAAAATCTCTTCATAAATTTCCCTATTGTCATTTGAGGACAAAACCAGTAAGCTTTCCAAGAACTGTACAGTGGAAATACTAATCAAGTGGGATTCACATGACCTATTTGAAACATGTAACTCTATAGAATAGCTCTCTCTTGCTAACCAGGGCTGCTCTCCAGCTGACAATCATTCACAGGCACTTAATCCCATGTACACACTAAATTTGACTATCACCATAGATAGTACAGCTGCACAGAACTGCATGGTTATTCTTTCAGGTTATTTTACATGCTTTTTTATTGCTAAATTGTTGCAAATCCTTACCCATTTTTAGACAGCAGTTAACATTCCTGTTGCTGCAAAGAGGATATACAGTTCTCCATTATTAAAAGAAACCCACCTGGCCAATCCAAGAGAATCTCTCTGAGACCTCCAACCTGCACACAAGAGAAAGATCTCTACTTGTTAGACAGGACCAACTCTACAGTGCCAGTAAATGCTTGGATCAACAGTTATATACCCTATATCTTTGTGCAATCTAAGACTTCAGCAAATAAGTCAAGCATGAACAGCATCAGTGAAATTTACAGAGGGAAAAATCATTAAGCAGGATAAGAGCTGAAAGGAAGAACGAAGTGCACTTTATAAAATCTGCAGATCAGTCATTTCCATATCTCATTTGTCTTAAGGCAGATATTTCAGGCAGGAAGGTCAAGCATATAGTTTTTAAGACAGTCATCTTTCATTTGATACTCTGTCGTTAGAGGTACGAGGCTGATTTCTACGTTCTGACAACACAAGGCAAAGCTCTCTGGAAAAGTTCATGTAAGAAGCCACTGCCCATGTAAATGCAAAGCAATCTAAAGCTAACCGTACTTTCACTCTTCTTGGAAATACCTGCCAAAGTTGGTAGCTACGACTGAAAAAGACAACAAACTCAGGCAGGTATATATTGCAGAGATGTATGTAATGGAAAAAAAATGAAAATGTCTTATCGCAAATAAGTCTTTAACAGTTTGAGCATTTTTTTTCCGCATTGAAGTTTCATTTCCCAAAACAGGACATATGATCCACTTGATCTAGTTGAAGATGTCCCTGCTCGCTGCAGGGGGGTTGGGCAAGATGACCTTTAAAGGTCCCTTCCAACCCAAAGATTCTATGATTCTATAAACCAATGAAAACCATGTTTCTGGAAATTACATTGAAATACGCTTTCTTATTCATTCTGTACAGATGCAAACAACTAGAATTCCTTTTGTTGAAACGGTCTATTGTACAAGCATGATGAGATCAGCTGTAATACATTTTTCAGCCACTTTGTACAGTTATTCTCAATATATACTAGAAAAAGGTAATACTCCCAGAAGAAAGTAAGAAATGAGAATAATAATTTTAGGTTCATAGTTTATAACTTGACAGTCATTGACCACATATGGAAACAGGCTGCCCCTCTTGATGGATCAATGACAGGAGGTACGTTAATTAATAGAGCAATGAGCCATCAATACAGTATGCATAAGCAAGCTGCTATACACAGAGCCTGGAAACAGGATGGCAGAGGGGAACAAAGGCACGACTGTCTTCAGTCCACAGAGAAATGCATCACCAACTGATTACTATACACTGTGGTATGAGGCTTTGACACTGAACTCATTGCTTATCTTCTTAAGAATTCTTTTGACAGTATAGCTCAACTATGAAAGACGCATTTTTGAAGGAAGGAAATTATAGACCAACATATTTTCCACTGTTCGAGAGAAGAGGCTTTAGGAACATACCAAGAATCATCTGCATCCCTATTCCCTTCCCCCTTTTAAAATTCCCTGAATTATTTGGAACCTATTTTTCATCTCACTCAAAATACAATCCAGCGGATACCTCAACAGTGATTCTGAGATCACTCTGCCTTTCACTCTGCAGAACGACTTCTCTCTCTACAAAATGAATGCAAGACTTTATCAGTCTGACAGGATGGAGCAACACCACATGATACTACCACCTGCACCTTCTTGCAGAGTGCTCCAGATGTTGAAGGGCATCAGTGTAGCTGCATAATATTTGTTTTTAGATAGTGGCCTCAGTGCAAACTAAGCCTCTACACATTACCTTTCTAAATCCAAAAAAGACCCTACAATGCATTCATACTGTGTAACACACTTCTGTTTTATTCAAGCTCTTTCAAAGTTAGGCCACATAGGTTGCATGTAAAACTCACTATCTGCTACAAAGGCATTCCAGATTTTCACTTCCCCAGACACTAGGAGACAGGCACACATCAGTCTCACAGTGAAAATGTGAAGACAACTAGTGGCTGAAGTCAGTGTCATCTACTCTGCTCTCAGTCACACCAGCGAAAATCAGAAAGGATGGACTCCACAGGAGTCAGTACAAAGTTACACTGATGTAAAAATAGGAATGAAGACAGAATTAAGACCATTCAAACTCAAACCACACTCTAGAGACCTGCCTGTTTGAAGGATCAACATATCCTTAACCGAAGTGAAAGTTTGATGAGGTTGGTTCAGAGGGACTTTTTCACTCAGCTAGAGATATGTCAATCTGAATTGCCAAAATACAGTAAAACAGTCAATAGGCCTCATTATTTATGAAGTTATTAGGAACATCTTAAGTCCTGAAAAGAAAACTTACTGGAACATTTATACATTGGAAGATGCAGCAAACATTAACGCTCATATCACTTCTGCAAGGCGGAGAACACTTTTATCTCTGCTTTGCTAACCAAGGAAATAATACAGGAAGTTGCAGTGACTTGGGACAGCCAACCAAAGTAGTGAAGGACATATAGTTAGAGTCAAGGACTGCCTTCCACAATGCAGCACAAGTCACGCAGACCACCGAGTCTGGGGTCCAAGCCTCTTCTTGCTCCCATCAGTTGCAAATTTTGTTTCATTCAGCAGACTTCAAACTCCTGATTTACATGGATAGGGAGGGGCAATACAACTCTCCACATATATGGCTTGAATGTTTTCCTTATCCACCTGACATCCAGTCCCAAAACAGTCTCAATTGCTCTGCAAGGGGGGGAAAAATGACCCTTCTCTATGTTAATAAAACATTAACATTCTCTCGCTATGAGTAACAGCACTCCTCTGAGCGAGCCTCATGCTAGAGGGAATCTTCATCTGTATCGATGTCACTGCTTGGTTTGTTCAATCTTTCAAATTCTTCTCCATCCTAGAGGAACCAGAAGCAAAAGAGAACAATGTGAGCAAAAGTTACCTTGTTATTAATTTAAAAAAAAAAAAAAAAAAAAGAAAAGAAAAGAGTAAAGTTTATTTTGAAGGCATCACTTATATAAAATCAAGACCCTGTAATTTAAATCTCTTAAGAGTTTGTTATACTCTTGTTCTAGGATATACATGCCCATAAAAAACATCCCCTGTTTTTTTAACATTTTTTAGTGACTCACTCCCTAAAACAGCTTGTTACCCATTCCTTCATCATGAAGCCTGCTCACATACTGCTATTTGGTTTTACCTGCTCAAACTATCAGCCGCTCTTGATCTAGGTCAAGATATCGCTGTCTCCCAGCCGCTCATCACATCTTCCTCTCCAAATCCTCATCTCTGCCAGTTTACCAGCTCAGCTCAATTTTAAGTACTAAAATAGACAGTTAACGCCTGGTATACCAAAAATATATGACACTGTTATTTACTGCTTGTTAAACAACAGCCTAAAAAGGCACCATATGGAATTTCTGGAAAACCTCTCTCCCAAGTTTAACGTTTCTTAGAATGAAATGGAGACAGCACCATCTGCTGGCTGCAACGTTTATTACAGAACACACCTCTACATGCAGACTAAAAGTATACACAGATTAACCCTTCCCCCTCAGACTGATTGCTCAACTCAACTGAATGACATATCTAAGAGCAAGCCCTCCCTGCTATGTTCTAGTTAACTAGATTACTACTCAAATCTAGACAGAGAGCACTAACCGGCCTGGATGAAATGTTGTGTAAGAAAAAAACATGCTAAAACTCTGTATTTAAACATTAGGTTTTGTCTTCAGGTATCCTTGACTATTAAGGTAGAAAAAAATCTTAATATCAAATATATTAACTTCATGATGTGGGCTCAGCTACACAGATTTATCGGTTCTACTTAAGTACAATTATTTCCCAGGCATCAATTCCAATTTCTGGATGACCAGGGCCAGTAAGTATTTTGGTTATAAAGGTTTCAAGAGAGGATGTGTACTAAGCTAAAAGTTGCTCACAGGACTGTCTATAGACACAGCAGGAAAGCAATGCTTACCTAGGCTTCATGAATTGAAAGAGTGGAATATGCAAAGCAATACCCAATCAATTAGTAAGATTTTAAGAAACAAAAGAGAAACCAGAGGAGACAAGGACTGAAAAGCCTTACCCCACTTGACCTCTCCCATGCATCTCCTTTGGCAAGTTTGCCCCTTTCCCGCAGAGTGGCATATTCCAGGCCTCTTGGTTTACTGGCATTATAGATGAATATGGAGAGAAGCACCACAGGAGCTTCCAAAAAGAACTCTAGAGAAGGCCTGAAGTCAAATATGATGAAAGAGATGGTGGTGATGATGACAGTGGTGATCTGAGCAGTCATAACATGGAACATATTGTCTCGGAACTTCAAGATGAAGGCTACAGACAGCCCCAGGAAAGCTGTGACAAATATGAGAGCCACCGAGAAGATGTTGTGCCCATAGAAGAAGCCACAGTTCCCTATCTGCCTCCGGTCCTTATCCCGCAGCCCCAACATAAGCCCATTGAACAGCACCCCAAAGGCATAGAGTTTGCTGTTCTGCATGAAGATGCTTTCAGCAAGCTGATCCCCATCTTTCAAGATCTTTTCATTGTAGATGTTAGCCAGAGCAGAAATGAAGCACTGCACTAGAATAAGCAGATGGCCCAGGCTGAGGCGGAGAGGTTTCAATGCTCCTGCCATGGTACTGGTGACATTCCACTGGAAGCTGTGAAGGAAACTTGGTGCTACACAGTTGCCCTTTTCCAGGCATGCTTCCTCAGGTCCGGCATAGAGAAGGCAGTGGTTAGATGGACTAAAAAACATACTGTGATGGAATCCATGTGCAGCCAAGCTTTGCTGATGGCCTCCAGTTCCTAGAGTCAGGGCAACGATGGACAGGAATAAAATCACCAGAGATGCCCACTGTACCCAAGAGAGTTTTCGCCTAGGAGTAGACAAAAAAAGCCACCAACTTAGAAACACAGTGGCAGAAATTAAATGACAGGAGAACAGGCTCTATAAAACACGTAACAGACATCACGTCACAGGTAAGGAGACAGAGACAGGCACAAAGAAAAATCTTGGCTTTTCAGAATTGACAGTAAAATGCCAAAATGCAACATGCTTTTCTATGGCAAGGGGGGTCCAGCCTGGTGATCACAGAAGTACAAAACAGAGTATTCTGTAGAGATAAACGGAGGAAAGTCTTTCAATAGCATGTTAGTTCCAGGCACTGACTGCCTAACAACTCAAAAGCAACTGTTGTCTCCATGGGAACACAGGTCTGACGGATAAAAAGAAACCACAGGCATTCAAATAATTACCCTCTTTCCTTGGTAAATTTTCACTACATTTCACTTTTCCCCACGATTTTGTGCCCTTTTCTAGCATTTTATGACGGTATATCATATAAATCTATGAACATAATTTATAAGACTGTTAGAACTACTTATACTATTTTTTTTTCACTCATGCCAAGCCTACTTTTCTTGGGGAAAAATCAGAAATTTGGAAGACTAAGTAACTGTGACATCACAAGAGGCATAACTAAGCAACTGAGAAAAAGTATTTCAAGTCAGACTATCAGACACTCTTCTGGTATATTAACACCTGTAGAAAAAGCATCTTTGCTCCACATTCAACACAAGTGACTTTGAGTGGAGTATGAAGTTAATATCCATTTCCCCATCAGTCTTTTCTGAATGCAAATCACACCATAAAGAGCACAAATCAGGTGAAGCAGAACACATAGGACAGAGAATCTGGCTTTTGTCACATGAAAAATGAAGAAGAGATATGTAATTACTTTTTAAAACATACTATGCAGTTGATCAAAAACACACCAGGGCTGGCACAATATTACTGAAGACAGCTCTATCTTTCACTCTTACGTATCTCATCCCCTTTTGTTAGATTACATTTACATTCTATTAAGAATTACAACAGACTGGAAAGAAGTACTGCTAATCATGAAATATGAGTTTTAAACTACCCAAACCTTAATTCTGACCAACCAACAACTATATAATCATGATTTCAGTTGTTTTCTATTACAGTTGACCAAATGCGTAGAGATATGGAGGGACTCCTAATAAGCTATTATTTCCTATACCTTCAGATCTAGAAAACAAAGCCAGCTCTCCAAGTTGGCATAGCCACAAGAAAACAAAATTACTGCTCCCATCAGAGAAAGAGAAAGAATGTAGCTTAACTTCTTCATCAAAGCTGGGAAGATATAAAATTCTATTTACTTTAGTAAATACAACTTACTTTAGCACTATCCGGAAGAGAAGAGCTGTTGTTATAATGACAAAATTTGAGAATAGTACAGCCATTGCCTAGACAGAGGAAAAGAGGAACAAAGTTATACTCCAGACATAGTGTGGACATCAAAAGCCCACTAACTTCAAGCGTACACCTTTCTGCAAGGTGCCAGAGTGAAAAGCATCATGCTGGTACTGAACTTGCTTCCTTACCCAAGTGGTAGAACAACACACCCCTGAAACAGTGTTCAAGTCCCATTTCAAAATCTCAAGCAAACCACAGAGCCAGTGTTACACTGTAGCAGGGCAAGATGCACTGAAATAAACATGTGAGGAAACCTAGGGAGCGGAAAACTTACTTAACAAAAAAGAAAATGGTTTAGGTTTCTGTCAGATCAGGCTGACCAGTCAGCTGCAAAAACAGCTGTGTCAGCACAAAGGAGGAAGTTGCTCCAAAATGAAAATAAGAAAAGAGCAAGGTAAGGCCGCTTCTGGCTGCAGTGCCAGCTTCCAGCATTCATGAAATCCCAGACTTGGACAAGGCACTTGCAGAAAATAAACTTCTTGCATGTCATGTGCATTTGCTGTTATTATAGAAAAATACCATTTATCAAAGGTAAGGATGTGCTTGGCTTGAATTTTCAAGACTGCAACTGTACTAAAAAATTCACCTATTTCAAAGTACAACTGAATACAATTCTAAAGCTCCTGTCTTGGGAAGAGTTGTATAATGACAGTGCCCGAATCCACAGCCATGATCCTAAGCTGCAAACTCCTCGTGGCAAGGATTGTCTCCTTGGTCTCTGTATTAGACACTCTATACGGGCACACTGGACTAAGAATAGGCTCTTTTAGACACTGCAGTTACCATTAAAGATCGGAATTTACCAGCACCAGTGGAGAAAAAAAAGGGTCGGGGGGGGGGGGGAGGGGCGTGTCGCA